TTCAGTATTGTTTACTAAACAATTAGGTTTATAACTATTGCATGCAGTGTTATCAGTATTAGTTGATGGTGCTGTACTACATGATTTATCTTGACATCTAGAAGAAGCCCATGCACATTCTCCACCATTTGAATTCTTAACACAACCTTCTTAAGTATTTATAGCACCACAACTTGGAGGAATGGGCATACAACCTTTTCCAGTATTATCAAGTGTGCAACTATTCATATGCTCTTAACAAGCAGCATGAGTAGTAATTGTTTATGATGCCAAACGGCATTCTTATTTATAACAAGAGCTTCTATATTTACATTTCTTATTGTCTTTATCAACTACACAATCTCCTTATTCTACAATATTTTCACAAATCATTTCAATACAAGCATTCTTTACAGAATTAACTGTACAAGATGACAAATATGAATTACATTTTTCATGTGATGTTCTCTTATCTGATGGTGCATTTGCACAAGTCTTATCAAGACACTTATTTAATTCGGCATCCCAAACACAATCCTTTCCATTTGTATCCTTTAGACATACTTCTGCTACTTCAATTTTATCACAGGTTGTGAGAGTTTAACAACCACCTCCTTTTTTTGGTATACATCCAGTCACATAAGAATTACAATCACCTAATGAATTTATGGTATTTGGTGCATTGTCGCATGTTCTGGTTCTGCATCCCTTATTAGTAGAATTTACAGTACAGGTAGGCATATATAAAGTACATGCTTCATGGTTTTCATTTGTAGCAGGGGCATTTTCACATGTCTTATTTTTGCATGTTACATTAAAAACACATAATCCTCCATCTTTATCCTTTTCACATGCAACTTAATCAAGAGAACTGCAAGATCCATTATCCTTACAACCTCCATCTTTCTTTGTTACACATTTTCCTCCTGGTTTGAATTGTTCACATAAGGGATTTGAATTCCTTGTAAGTGGTGCTGATTCACATTTGTAATCCTTACATAGGTTATCAACCCAGATACATTATTAACCAGAACTATTGACTTTACAACCCTCTGAAAGTTTTGCATCACTACAAGTAGTTATAGTTCTACATCCTGCTCCAGTTGTAGTACAAGTTGGATCATAGTTTTAACATTGAGCATGAGTATTATATGATGATGTTGCTGGGGCTTTATCACAAGTTCTATTCACACATTCATTTCCAGTCCAAAAGCATTTCTATTTTGCTTACTAATCTCCAAAATAGCATTATTATTCTCCATCTTATTAAGCACAAGATGTAGCACTGTCTTAACATCCAGATCCACTCTTTGAAACAGTACATTTCTTATTCTTTTCTCTACATTTTTCATCAGTTGTTAAATCTTTTGGATAATGTTCACACAAAGTAGCATCGATACAAGCTTCACCAGTCCAGAAACAATCTTTTTTACTTTAATCCACTTTGCATGGCAATTATTTCAAATATGATTTGCATTCTCCAATCTCTACACAATGAACACCATCTGTAATGCATTTGTTAGATATAGCTTAGCATTCTTCATCTAAAGTCTTATTAAATGCTGTGCACCCTGTAAAATGAGTACATTTATCTGTATTCCATAAGCATCCATTAGTCTTTGCACAATCAGCTTATGTGAAACTTTAACAATATGATGCATATGTTATTGTGACAGGAGGAGTTACGGTTCCTTTACCACATGTATTTTTAGTCTCATCCCATGAGCAACCAAGTGAAGTTCTCTTTGTACAATCTGTTTTAGTTAACAATTGTGCACATTCACATTCAGTAATTGATGTTGTGACACATAATGATATTCCTATCAGAAGCCAAAGGCATAAAAATTATTTCATTTAAAGTATTAATTAAAGTTTATTTAATAAATCCAAATTTAAATAAAAATTAGATTTAATTTGTTTTAACTATTTATTTTCCAATAAAAAGTCTACTCAGAATTTTTTAATTAATTAAAATTACATCATTAATATAAATATCATATAATTCTCTAACTACTCCAATAGATGTATTACTCTAACCAAAGCAATACTTTGAAACAAAAAATGATGAAATAAATATCATTCCATTTATATTAGATTCCCCTTCCCCTTTTATATATAGATAGATATTTGTCACATTCATATTACTATATGTTTCTTTTAAATTCCACTTGCAACCTTAAAAATGCAAATTCTATTGAAAAATGAATATAAGTAAAGAAATATATTGATAGAAATGATTAACAAAAACAATATACTTTAAAATTTTACACATACACAAAAATTGTATTAGAGTTGTTAACTGATTCATAAATGATTATAATTCCTAGTATTAAAGAATGTCCTTATAAAATTCAAGTGCAAAAGACTAATAGAATAAAATCTGTTAAATTTTGTTGAATAATAATGATTATGAATCTGCAGATTATATGTATACACTTTAAATAAAATCAAAAGTATAATATTCTATTCACTAAAGTAGATAAGATATCAATTTACTACAAAGTCTATTAAAAGAAACTAATAATTTTTTTTGAAAAGCATAATAAATAAACCAAAATTCCAATACTATTTCAACAATTAAGAAAAGAAATTTAAAGAATGAAAAATTACTTTTGAAAAAATGGTCTCCTTGATAATTAAATTCTAATTTAAATTATGAATTATTGTTCTTAAGTAAATGAAAATTAAATATTTATAAATATAAATATAAATAATTAAATAATAAAATAGTAATTAATTTTAAATCATTAAAAAGTTGAATAATTTCTCTTAATATCAATAGTCTTAATAGGTGCAAAATATATTCTATTTTTTTCGTGTAAATTAGGATCTTCTGGTGTAATAGATCGATCATTTAATGAAGTGTTTAGTTCTTTTAATAGTTCCCTTCTACTATATCTAATTTTTCTTTATAAAGTTTTGACTGCTTAATTATTTGATATTATTGTTGATGGATATTTTGGTTATTACATTATAGGAGTTTTTCTTTACTTTTTTTCCTCATATTTAATTGTAGCTTAATAATATTTCTCCATCAAAATCAAAGAAATATTATTTTAAGATTTTTTTTTATTATTTAATATTCGTTCTCTTGAAACTCTAACCACAGGCATATCCATCAATTTTGATTCATTTACACTTTATCTACTTTTAACAGATTCCAATATTTGCTTTGAAAATCTATTTTATGTATTAATGGTTTATTTCTTATTTGATATTCTATATTAAGAATATGATGATGGTTATTTAACTTTAGAATGAATTTAATATTTTTAAGTTTTGTTTCTTTATTTATATATTATCTTTTTGTTTTAATACTAATTTTATTGTGGAATCTTATCTAATTCATATATTTTCATCTTTTCTTTTAAAATATCTAATGCTTTGTTTCCAAGACTTTCCTCAGCTTCTGTTTTACATAATGCACTACTTGAATAAATTATTGAATTATGCATAAAATAAATAATTATTATTAATATACAAAGTTGTTTTACTCAAAAAATTTTCTTTAATGTTCTCTCTAATGATTCTGTATTTTTTCCATGATTTTATAATAAATTTATTAATTTTTAGAGAGATCTTCTCATTCTATCAGTTGATTAAGGTTCATTTTTGATAAATTATTAATTTACTTTTTAAAATTACTCTCTAATTATCATTTCCTATAATAAAAATAAATAAAATACAGATTCAATATTACTAATTATATGTTATATCTAATCTAAAGGTAATAATGTTAATAATTAAAAGTAACTGCCAAGTTCAAAATCTGGGATTTCTTTTATATTTAAACTAGAAATTAATTTGAGTAAGTGTTCTTTTGAAACAGTATAGCTCCATTTTAAATGCATTTCAAATAAGATTACTATCATGATTCTTGGAGAAAATTATTATGATTAAACTCTTTATTATAATAATTATAAAATGTCTTCTGCCATCAATTATTAATAATCTCCAAGTTATGTTAAATTAAATACGAATGATTATAAGGCTAGATCACTAAATGCAGAAACTCCAGTTTTTTAAATTCTATTTAATAAGGATTATGTTATTAAACTTATCTCTTATTTTAAAAATTAATCTTTTAATTTTAGTAATGCAGTAAGTAAAATAGTTGATTCTTTGGGTGACATATTATTAAAATCTAAACTTTCAGCAAAATTAGAAATTAATAATTTATAATAACATTTATATAATTCAATAATTTATCCTAAATAAGTTGCTTCTTATTCTAATTTAATATAAAATAATCCTTTGATTAAAAATGAAATTTAGGAAAACATACAACCAGATATTTTATAATCTGGTTTATAATTTGAAATAGCATTTTTTATTAATTCTTACCATTATCTAATGAATATTTCATTTTTTGTAAGATTATTATATTTTAAAAGTGCTTAACCAAAAATATAAAGCAATTAGACTTAAATTGTAAAATTATATTATTTAGATTCTTAATTAGTAAATTAATTAATAAAGGTTTCCATTAGTTATTCATTAATAAATCCTAATTAACATGCTTAATTAATTATTGAGATAGTGTCTTCATTAAATGAATTTAACTAATTTTATACTATCTATGTTAAACATTATTTATTGCTTCTTGATAAAAATAAATTATTTAAGTATATTTTTTCTAAAAGAATTATTAATTGACTTATTTCTATATCATTTACATTTAAATAAGAAGCCAAAGATGTATTAAATTGAAGACTATTTGAATGAAATATGTCCTCAATTAAATATTGAAATTTATTATTGGCAATTTTTGGAGATTCAAATTCACTCATTTCATAATTAGCAAAAAAGTGTTCTAATTTTCCATATAAATATCTAGTTTAATTTTTTGATATCATTTTAAACATTTGAAATGTTGTTCTGGGTAAAGAGGCAGCTTTATTAATCATCAATAATTTAATTTACCATAAATAAACTCAATAACAATTAAAATTTCAAGAATTTTATATAATTTAATTATCTAGATTGTAGATTGTTTGTATATATTATAAATATTTTAATTTATGAATAAAAATAAAGAATCTGGAAAATAAGCTTAAAATAATAAACAAAATGATTCTAATTTGAATAAAAATAAAGAATTATAAAAACTTGTTTAAAATAATAAGCATTTTGAATTTTTATCAAGTGGAAAAATTAAATGTATTTTAACACATCATGAAATCTTACCAACTTTATAAGAATTTAATAATTATTTAAATGGTAGAAGCTATAAAAATGCATTAGAAAATGATATTGATTTTACTTAATTTGAACCATATATTGTCTAGCATAAAACTGATAAGTAAAATTAATTAATTAAAATTTAGAAATAAATTATATTGTAATTTGACAAGATAAAATATTAGTAAAAAGAAATCTGTTGTTCTTAAACATGTTAATGGAAAGAGATACAAATATTATTTATCTAGTAATAATATTAATTATACTTAGAATATTTAGAAGAATAAGCCAAAGAAGAACAAGAAAATTAACCGGAAAATTAAGAAGAAGATGAAATATTAAATGAATTAGAAGAATTAAATAATTTATTAAATGATGAAGTTGAAGAAGAATAAACAGATAAATAAAAAAATGGTATTTTAAAAGGAGGAAAGAAAATAAATAAAAAGAAAGTTAAACCATAATAAGAATAATAAATAGAAATTGAATAAACAATTTAAACTAAATAAAAAAAATAATAATAATAATAAGATGGAAAATAAATTAAAAAATTAAAAAATAAATAATAAAAAGCATAAGTGGAATGAAAATACAATGACTTTATTATGTATAATATCAATGTAACCTAAAAAAAATATTAACAAATCATTATTATTCTTCTTCTTAACTTTCTTTTCTTTTTTATTTAGATTTTACTTTTTTCTTTTGAAAATCTAAGAATTTTTCAGTTGTACCATCTTATTGCATTTTCTAAATTATATAAAAATATCATTACAATTTTAATAGTCTTAATGGCTTTAGTAACATCTGTCATATTTGCTAGTACTTTTTCTTCATTAAATTTAATTTCTTCCATTTTCAATTTTATTAAATTTTCTATTGCTAATACTCTTTCTACATCAAATTAAGTCATCATTGTTATAGCTGTACCTCTAATTAAATTATATATTATTAAATATATACCTTCTACCAGCTCTACCTGTTCTACCAACTCTATGTACATAATCTGATTCTACTTTAGGTACATTCCAATTAATAACAAATTTAACATTTGGTATATCAAGTCCTCTTGATGCTACATCTGTGGCTACCAATACTTAAGTTTTTTATGATCTATAAGCTCTTAAATTACTTATTCTTTCATGTTAAGGTAACATAGAATGTAAACATGTTGATTTAATTTCAAAATGATTAAGTAATTCATTTAACTCATGACATTTTCTACATGTAGGAGCAAATACAATTGTAGATGCACCTTCTAATTTTTTCATTAGATGAATGAAATAATAATCTTTAACTAAATCTGGCATCAATACAAATTTATGTTTAATAGTTTCTGATACTTTTTGTTCTGGATTATTGATACATTCAACAAAATTAATACCTTCAAATTCATCTTTTAATTAATTAGTAACATTATTAAGAGTAGCTGATACTAATGCTATTTATGGAGATTCACATTATTGATATACTTTTTTAATATCATCCCATATTTGAGGTTCTAATAATCTATCTACTTCATCCAATATGAAATATTTAACATTTTTAATATATTTCTAGAAATTAACATCAATACTAAGTAATTCTGAACATCTTCCAGGAGTTCCAATTATAATATGTGGAATTTATCCTAATTATTTTACTTATTTTGATGAAGATAGACCTCCAATTAATAATGCCAATCTTAAATTTACACTAGCACCAAATATTTATATTTATTCAGCTATTTATACTGCCAGTTCTCTACTTGCAGTTAATATAATAGCAAAGATTCCATATGGATCTTGACTTAATGTTTATAGAATTGGAAATGAGAATGCAGCTGTCTTTCCACTACCTGTTTGAGATGAAACTATAATTATTTCCTTGATTAATACTCAATACATTCTTTCCTTATAACAAAGGAGGAATACTTAAAACTTAAATTGGTCTTGGTTCTTTATAATCAATCTTCCAACATAATTTCAATAACCATTAATCTAAACCTAATTCTTCAAATTTTTTATATTCACCACTATTCATTTTTTATTATTATTATAGATTAATTAATATAATTAATGTATTATTATTCTAATACCTAATATAAAAATCTTATGTTTTAAATTTATCTAAAGTTGATAAACATAAAATTGTATAGTATATCTTTAAATAATAATAACTTATAAGTATTTAAAGAATTAATGGATTTATTAATTATTAGTTTATAAATATATATTTTGTTCTTAAAATTTTTAATAGTTTAGGTATAGTCTTAATTTATATCTATATTGCTTTAATCCTGATATTAAAATAATAAATCATATAAATTCAAATTTATAATATATTTGCATATATAAATAACTTTACATATATTATAAATAGTTAATTATTAAAAATGAACAGATTCTGTGATTATAAATCTTGCCAATACTTCATTAAGTAACCCACAATAGAACAAAGATCCAAACTTAATAAGGTTATGTGTCCATTATGTATGGGTGCCAACTATTGCAGTACTAGATGTAGAGATCTTGATTGGTAAATTATAATATATTATTAATTAATAAGGCCAATTTATCATAAAGAGATTTGCAAAAAGTCATAGCCAGATAGAGCACGATCTTGTAATGATACTATTGATTCTTGTTCAACAACAAGTGTAAGAAGAAAACCAGAAGAGTTTGAAATAATAACAATTGGAAATAAGCAAGAGTTAGGTAGAGGATCATATGGATCAGTAAAACTAGTCAAGGACAAATAGAATGGATTATTATATGCAATGAAAATTGTAATTATGTGATTCAAAATTTATAGATGAATAAAAGATAAGTTTTTGAATATTGTTCAGTAGAAAACTTGAAAAGGGAAATAAAAATACAACGTAAATTGGCTCATCCTCATATTTGTAAATTACACCATTATTTTGAAGATAAGGAAAATGTTTATTTAATACTTGAATATGCATGTATAATGTTTATTAAATAGAAAATGGATCTGTTTTTAATTATATTAAAAAACGATCTAAATTACCTGAAAATGAAGCATTTGTCTATTTCTTTTAAACTTGTTTAGGCATAGATTATCTACATAAAAATAAGATTATTCATAGAGATTTAAAACCTGAAAATTTATTATTGGATCAAGATGGTAATGTAAAAATATGTGATTTTGGTTGGAGTGCTGAAAGTTTAACAGAGAAAAGAATGACATTTTGTGGTACTTATGAATATATGGTATATAAATATATATATATATATAGGCACCTGAAATGTTAAATAAATAACCACATGATTTCAGTCTAGATATTTGGAGTTTAGGTATATTATTATATGAATTATTACATGGAAATGCACCTTATAGAGGAAGAAACAATGAAGAATTAGGAAATAAAATTAAATCTGGATAACCAATCAATTTTGCATCCACATTATCAACTGAAGTTATTACTCTTATTAAAGGAATCTTAAAATATATACCTGGAGAACGTTTAACAATGGACTAAATCTTTGATCATCCATGGATGGTTAAAAATGCTACTAATTATAATATTGATATATGGACTTTTGTTTATAAAACATAATATCCAACAAGATAAATTCCTACTGCCAATTTTTAATAAAAATAAAAACCTATTGAAATTTAAAAAAAAGAAATATTAGCTAGACCTATTTCATAAGATTATAATAAATTAAAAGAATAACAAATATATAATAATAATACAAATAATTACAAGGCATATTAGAATGAATATATTAATAAATAAGAAGATTTTACTAAACCAAGAATAAGTAGAGTATCAAATAGAAATGAGATTATGATGCATCAACATTAATTATAATAATAATAATAATAAGAAGAGAAGTTAAGTTTTATGGATAGAGTATTTCTAGCATTTGGATGTTTGAATAGAGAGAAAAAATGATTAATTTTTAATACTTTATTTTATTTTTAGTTAAAATAATTTAAAGTAACTAGAAAATGAGCAAAGTTTATGAACTTTACATTCACTTACTTGTTAAACAACAACATAGTCCTATGATTTCTACAATATCTAAATATGAACCATCTGGTTTCAAAGATGACAATAATCCATTGTGTATGGCTAATAAATTTAGAGTGATGAGATATAGATCAGAAAAATTATTATTACCAGATAACATTCTCTAACATTATATTAATCTATTTAAAAATAATAGATAATTGTTTATACTATTTCTAAGATAATTAACATCTCCTATATAAGAAAATGAATTATAGGAATAATAATAGATAGAAAATATTATATAATAAATTGAATTAGATAGTATACTAATAGAATAATTGAATTTATGGTCAAATATCTTTCAACTTACTTAAAAATAACTCTAATCCTTATTTATATGTTAAAATATGACTGATTATTTAAATTTCCTTAAAGAATTCTTAAAAAATCAATTACAAACATTTTAAAATATTGATTTATCTCAAATCAATTTAGATGATGATTTTGACAAAACTGAACAAACTTAAATTATTTATGTAAATGAAATGTATGAGAATCATTATAAACCAAGTAGTAAAAAGAAACTTGTATCTTTTACACATAAAAATGAATTAAGTGAATCTGATTAAAATTCAATTATTAGAGTAATTCAAAAAAAAAAATTAGCATCTATTAGAGATATATATAATGCAATCATAACATAATTTGATCTTTAACCTAAAATACAATATACTGAATTAAATGGATAATGGATATGTTAAATTGATATTAAAGAAATTTAATCTAAGTAAACTTCTTAAAATAAAACTTAATCATTATTATCTTCATAAATATACATCATTAAATAATTATGTCCAATCATATTTGATTATATACTGGAAAATTCAAATCAAGATATTGATTAAATTAAAAATAATAAAGGTATCTTAAATCTTGCATTACCTACTTCTAAAAATCATAAATTAATACCTTAAGAAGATTATTTAAAATAATTACCTTATAATTATGAATTAATTGAAAATTATATTGAAAATAAAACTAGTAATGAAACATGTTCAATTAGAAAATTATAAAATGAAGTAACTAATTATTTAATTTAAAAATATAATAAATACTCTATTAATAAACAATTATTAAGTGTAGCTTCAACTTATGAATTAACTATGACTTTTACGGACAATGGCAAACATAAATCAATTGAAAAGTATAATATTATTAAAATATGATTTAGAACCTTTACAACTAAACTAAGATTTTGTAATGCAAGATTAATAGGATAATAATATATAATAAATGTAATAGGAAACTTAATATTTGGAGAGGATAGATCAAAATAATTTGAAAATATTAATTAATTTTTATTATAAATTTAATGATTATGACTATTTAAGATTAAATTAAAGATTTATTAGAATATTATAAAATTGTTGGATCAATTTTCATCATATCATGTAAATCAAACTCATTAATGGAATTTCCAAATTATAAACTAATTAGGCTTATTAGAAGTTATATAGAAATCTTAAAGATTTTAAATTAAATTTAGATAGCTATATTTATTTAGAATACTTAAAAAATATATATGGATAATACATTTATAATTTATCATATAGGATTATAATATTAAAAAATCAAAAGAATATATTTCATTTAAAATTAGATTCTTATTTTTTAGAATTAATGATATAGAAATATTAAACATAATATATATATGTCTTAATATTAAGACAAATAAATAAATATATATATATGTATCAAGCTTTTTTTACTTATTTGGCTTTGATTGAAGCAACGTGCAATGTTACAGATTTTTTATTGTAATTATCTTATAATCTAGATTTTGGTCGAGAATAAAGGGTTGCTAACTCTTAAATTTTCTCAAGAGATGAGTATTATTTTTCTTCAATTGATTATTTGGAACTTGAAATATATATTATATTATATACTTTGTTTAATAATCTTAATATTCAGTAACCAATCTATTTTTTCTAGTATTTGTTTTAACAGAGATATATTATTTTTATTAATTGAGATTCATGAAATTGTTGTGGAATGTATTTGATCTTGATTTAGTATCAAATTGAATTGTTTATTTTTATTGATCTAATATTATTTTATCGATTATTGATTGAGTTTTTTATTGCAATTACTGATTCTTCTAATATTTAGTATCTTCGAGATCTTTCTTGAGCTAAGTTATCTCCTTTTAGTAACTCTAAAGAATATAAAAGCATGAGATTATACCATGACTTAAGCTTTATAATCTTTTTCTATAATTAGTTACTATTCATAGAGTTCTTGGATGTTTTCACAATGAATTTTCAATCTCTATTCTGTCTAAAGTTATTTTAATTTTTTATACCCTAATATGAGATCTGCACTCACCTTCATACTTTTATAACTATTATTCTAATTAGGCATATTGGCAGTTTATTTCTTAAAGAATTCTAGATAGAAATATTTATAGAAATACCCAAATAATTCATCAAGGACAGATATGATAATTTGAATGCCCTTTAAAGCATTGTTTGGTTATTAGATTGTTATTGTTGATTGTCCTAATTCTTATAAGTTATGTTTAAGTTTAGGAAAATAGTTAGTAATCTATAGCAATAATAGTAAAAGGATTACTTCTTATTAGATCTGATCTAGTAAGTTCATGAAGATAATATTTATTATTGTTATTATTATTGTGAATATCAATTTCCAATAAATTTAGTTTATTCTCTGGATGGCTTTTCGTTTCTTTAATGCTTCAAAGCAGGATGTGGTTATCTAAGCAATTCAAATGTACTATCATCTTGTGTCTTCTCCCAAGGTTTATAATATCTATAAAATTATAAAAAAGTTAGTATACTTCATTTGATCAACTAAGTCAACTTCTTTGGCAAGTTATTAAATAAGGAATTCAATTTATTCAAAACCAAATTCCTCTTCAAGTTATCTAATATCCTCTATTTCATCTGTAATTCGCATAATATATTTTAGTTTCTCTTCTGTGTATATTCTGTAAAGAACACCTTCGGGGATTTCTGCCTTTAATTTATCAAGTATTGTATAGCATAACTTCATTATCTTTGCTCTAGGCATAGGCTCAACATCAAGGAAACTGTATCCAGTAGTTAATTTGATTTTAGATGATGGTACCTCATACTTCTTGGCTTCATAAGGCCTTAAATAAACAGGAATTGGATTTGATTGAGTTGCTGATGTTTAATTACCAGAAGCTACATTGGATGATCCAAGTGTTGTAGCAAATCTGAATCTGGGTATCAATCTATAGAGTGTATGAATCATTTATATTTAATAATTAATAATAAAATGAGTGTTCATAGGAAAATATTAGAAAAGAGTGGCAGATTGGATTCCCTGTAATAATAATAATAACCAGAGCCCTATGCTTAAGAGCTTGGAAAATAAACAATAGAAAAATAGGATTCTGAAGTTCTCAAAAATCTAGATGCTTATTAACAATACAACTCAATTAATAACATAAGAATTACATCTAGAGTGTTTCCTAGAACTAAATAATTGTATATGGAAGCCAAAATTCCATTTGCTGTGATTATTTAACCTTATGGCTTATCCACAAAATAAGGATTCCCAACTGTAAATTATGGGAATAATCCAATTTTGAGATGTTAGAATTGTAAAGCTTACATTAATCCTTTTATGGAGTAATTGAAAGATGAGGATTATTTAAGATGTAACATTTGTACATGTATAATAAAAATACCAAAAAACTTCATTAAACCTGAAGATTTAGAGTAGAGACCTGATTTGATTAATGGATCATATGATATCAGAGCAGGATAAGAATATTAAATGAGACCACCAATGGCACCTGCATATTTTTTTATGATTGACGTGTCATATAAGAGCCAAGAAATTCTAGGTATTATGGGATAGATCATTAAGGATATGATTTTGGAAGATAAATTTAATTAAAGAACATTGTTTGGATTCATTACATTTGACACTAGTATACATTTGTACAATTTCAATTCTAAATTAAAATAAGTATAAATGTATGTGTTAACAGATGACAATGAAATACCAACACCAGACGATTATTTGTTTAATTTGTAAGATTCTAAAGATATTATTGTGGCCTTTCTTAATCAATTAGATAAACTCTTTCCTAAACCATAATTAAAGAGTACATAATTTATTTAAGCATTTAATTTGGCCTCAAAGATCATGTAAGATAATGGAGGCAAATTGATTATGTTATCATCTTCACCAATCAAAGAATTGAATAATACTGAGAATTCTAAATCTCCTTAGTATCACTTTTAACCTACTAACAATATATTAAAATAAATTACTGAAAAAATGCATTTGAACTATATTTGTCCTTCAATCTTTATTATTCCTTGTGGATTCAATAATATTTGTACACTAAATTAATTAGTCAAATTTTTGAATGGTGATATCTTTTTTTATGATGATCCTACTATTTATAGTAAATAAATTATATTATTTTAAGCTTAAAAATTTTATTATGATTTTCGTGCAATCTTAGATAGAGATTATACTTGGGAATCAGTTTTCAGAATTCGATCATCAATTGGATGGAAAATCAAAAGTGTCTATGGTAATTATTCAATAAAAAATGCAGATCTACTTAATGTTAATTGTACAGATGAGTAAGTGTATAAAATATATATAATAGTTAAAAGGTATTAATGTATGAATTAGAATTGAATTAACCTAGAGCTCCTTATGATAATTTATATATATAAACTGCATTACTTTATACTTCAACCTAAGGAGAAAGAAGAATACGTGTTCATAATTTTTGTATACCAATTAGTAATTCAATAAAAACAATCTACTCTCAAATTGATTAATCATGTTTAGCAATCTCATTGTTTAAAATAGCTTTATCTTAATTAAATATTGCCAAAGATGTTAAAGATTGTATTCAAACCAAAGATTTTTTAATTACTGCAACTAGATCAATATCTAATAATTGTAAGATTTTTAAAGAACCACTTGATTCATTGCATTCTTATATGTTAGGAATTATGAAATCTTAAATACTCAACTATACTTATGATTAATAATCAGTTTTAACAGATTATATGAATTACTTAAGATCAATTTTTCAATATTTAAATGTTGATGAATTGGTTACATACATTGTACCATAATTATACAATATTTCCAATTTATAAGAATAGGATTGCATCTATGATGACAGTGGGTATTTCATATATCCATAACCAATATCTTTGGTTTTAGAGGAAGTTTCAAATGGAGGATTATTGCTTATGGATTGTGGTTATTGTTTGATATTGTTTATATGCAAGTATTAAATCTTTAATAATAACTAGAATACATGATGAAAATCAAATGGCTGATATTTTTGGGAAATAATATTATAGTATTAATTTAATAGAAGACAATCTCTATTCCAATTCTAAAAACCCTATAAATGATAAACTACATTATTTAATTACAGAATTGAGAAAGTAAATATATAATTTTTATTATTATTTTTAGCAATAAGTATACTAAATATGCACCTTTGTATATAGTAAAATAAGGATGTAAGAGTTATTGGGAAGAGGTTTTCTTTCAAAACTTAATTTATGATGATTTTAATAAGAATTATAGAATGGGATATAATCAATTTGTACAATATATTGGTTGATATTATTAATATATTTATATATATATAATAATAATATACAATGAAGAAAAATAGATTCCAACAACAAAAGGAAGAGTAGAAGAAACAAAATTATTTTGATGAAGAGGAAGATATAGATTTAGAAGATGATGGTCTATTTGGAAAAGAAGTATTAACTGCATGTAATCAATAATCATATATTTTCAGCTAAACCTTATGAGGAATACTTCTAAAAGTTTAATGAGTTATATAATAATCACATTGTTAATTTTTCAGCATTTGAAGAAGATTATCAAATCCCATTGACATAACCTGATTATGAGAGCATAATTCAGAGTCATTTCATGGTTTATGAAAAGAACATGGGATTATTTGATTTTATGAAGTCAGACAACAAAGTTTTTGATAAAATTAGTGCATCCTTTGTATTCATTGATAATTAAATCAGATAAATAGAAGATCAAGTATTTTTATAAATATTATTCTATAGTTCTATAAATTCCTTGATAAATTAACTATTTATGGTGAATTGGCAGATCTCCATTTAGAAGAAGAGAGAAAATTGACTGATGGAGAAGCTGAAATCATGATATGTAGAATGCTTGGTTAATTTAAGTAAATATATGACATAATTAAAAAACTCATCAATTACATCACCCATTTAGTTAATCAATTGAATTTACTTTACAATAAAAAAGATCCAATATCTAAAATCATTAAAATATTTAATTTAAATTTTCCATTAGATACAATAGGAAGAGCATTGCAACTTATTTATGTCTTAGATAATGTTGTAGAATAGAATGATTATTTATAAGAACATTGGAATTATTGTAAGAGAATGTTAAAAATTGTTAAACCAGATCCTACTAAATTTAATTCCAATGCTTAAAATGTTAAACAATTAGAAAAAATTATGATTAGATTAGATAAAACAGTATTATCTGGTTCTTGTCTCTAATCTGTTTTAGCATAGAATTGGGATTAAAATGTTCATGAGAAAACAGGAAAAGAGAAAAATGCCAATATACCTGCAATTAAAAATAATAAAGAATTCTTTAATGTACTTAATACATATCTCAAAGAAAGATATGAATTATTTGATAAAACTTTAGGAACTGCTAAAGAAATGTTTGAAAGAGATTTATTATTACCTACATTTTGTGTTTATGCACTTGTAAGATAATTATATCAAAATGATGAAAATAGAGATCTATGGAAGAATTTTTGGTCTCTATAAAAGAAAGTTCCAATGGTTGATGGACATTCTTAAGTATTATGTTATTTAAGTAAATTCCTTATGGAAGTCACTCCATTAACTAAAAAGAGTTAGACTATGGATCCAAAAGATCCTATAGCCAATTTTAAGAATTATTTATAAAGATTATCAGGTTCATTTTAAAGTTCATTAACTGCTTAATATGTTGCATTCACTACTTGGATAGTTAGAGTTGACTCATTTTCATGTAGTTAAGCTTCATTTAATAATATTGATAAAATTGATAGAGAAAGAGCATAGAAATATATAGAAGAGAGAATGAATTAGAGAGTAATTTTAGTATTGTAAGGATTGACAATTGCATCTCAAACAAGAAATCTATTATAAGCATTATTATTAGGACATTTTGGATTAGAAGAATAATCGTTAGATACATCTTTATCAAAAGATGTTGTTTTAGCAGTTGAAATGTTAAAAGCAATAGAATATTATTTTGAATAAAAATATGATGTATTCTAACCTGCTTTAATATAAAATCATATAACAAAAAATGGATAAAGAATTATTTAATAAGTATTGGAGAAGATGAAGGCAAATTTAAAAAGTTTTGGTACTGGAGGTGCTGAAATATTGGGAGCATTATAAATATTGAATTCTATTCTAAAAAGTACACTATCACCTTTGAAATTGTAAACTATGTATTTTTTAATGGATTTTATGGTTGCAAAAGATATATTCACAAATTAAGAAAAAGAAGATTTTAGAAATATTCTTTGGAAACTTGATAAATTAATTTTATTACCT